GCTCTGCGGTGGGCCTGGGGAGCAGGGCCCGAGCCCCACTTTTCAGCTGTTGGGGGAGCCGCGGGCCTGCGTGCTCTCCGACCGCCCCTCCGGCCCCTCCCCCCTTCCCTACGCGGTGAGGGCCGGGGGCGGGGTGGGGCGCCCTCCTGCCCGCCGCCTGCCTGCGGGGTTCCCGCAGCGTGACTCCCCGGAGACGCCGCAAATCAGAGGGCGACAGGGAAGAGCGGCTTTAACCCTCCCCGGCTCCTTTAACAAAAGCTGCGGCTCCTGGCGGGAGCCCTCTTCGGCTACAGTTCCTGGATTCCAGGAATTTCCCGAACCTTCTAGAAACTTCTTCCTCCCACCCCCGCCCCCCTTTTGTCTTTGGTGTTTTCTTTTTTCTTTTGCTAACATCGTTTACGGAAAGAAGAAAGTGGATCCCACAGGATTTTATTGTTTTAATCTTAATTGTTGTCATAAAACATCCTATTCTGTACCATTTAAAATATAACATTGTTAACTGGGAAGAAAGAGGCACCCTGTGCCTCCATATTTTATTGAAATATTTAACCAAATGAATATCTACTGTGTTCTCTATTTAAACAGCTATTCTCATAATTTTAGAAAACTGTCATTAAATACTTTGGATATATGGAAAAAGGCGCGGGCAATACCTCGTTTTATTGTGTTTCACTTTATTGTGTTTCTCAGATAGCGTGTTTTTTACAAGTTGAAGGTAAGACTCTCCACCACCAAAAAGACTGACTCGCTGAAGGCTCAGGAGATGGTTAACGTTTTTTAGCAATAAAGTACTTTTAAAAATATGTTTTTATTGATTTTAGAGAGAGAGGAAAGGAGAGAGAGAGAAGCATCCATGAGAGGGAAACATCAACACCCCTCAGCTGCCTCCTGCACGCCCCCTGCTGGGGGGTCCAGCCCACAATCCAGGCCTGTGCCCAGGAATCGCATCCTGGACCTCCTGCTGCATGGGTCCATGCTCGACCACTGAGCCACACTGGCCTGGCAGCAATAAAGTATTTTTAAATTAATGTATAAATATTGGGTTTTTTTAAGACATAATGCCATTGCACACTTACTAGACTACAGTAGAAGCATAACTTTAAAATATATATATATATTTTTATTGATTTCAGAGAGGAAGGGAGAGAGAGAGAGGGAAACATCAATAATGAGAGAGTTGTCTCGGGTCCTAGGTCGATGCTGAATCGCTGAGCCACACCTGGCTGAGTGAAGCATAACTTTTACACGCGCTGGAAACCCCAGAAATCGCGTGACTCACTGTATTGTGCTATTCGCTTGATTACGTTAGTCTGGAACGGAACCCTCAGTATCTCCAGGGTATGTCTGTATAAACAACAATAGAATAAGCATCTGTGTGCCAGTTCACCTACCCACCCCACCCCCAGCTTCAAAAGTGAAGCAGTCCCGTGTTCGTTTAGGTCTTTTCAGCCATTATCTCCCATGATTTTCATGGGATGTTTGCACTTGCTGTTCCCTGTGCCCTTCATGTAGTTTCCTCCTTATCACTCAGGCTTTGGTCCAAGTGTCACCTCCTCCAAGAAGCCTTACCAGACTCCACCTATCTAAGTAGTTTCCCCCTTCACAAAAATCACTATCACATCACATTGGTTTATTAATGTATCAGTTAGCACGTGCTGTGTAACAAACCCCCACACAAAGTGGTTTATCGGAAGTCGAGTTCCCCTGATGATGTAAGTCCCCCAAGGGCAAGCACCTCCTCTGTCTTGTTCACCATCGTATCCCCAGAACCAAGACAGTGTTTGCCACACAGAGACGTGGGATAGTTATTTGTTGAATGAGTAAGTGAATGAGCCGATTGACTGTTCTGGGCTGGGAGTGGAGAGGGCCACTGGGGCAACCGCCGGAGGGTGAGACACTCTCCTTAAAAAAAAAAAAGAAGAAGAAAATAGGAAGGTTGTTTCTGTCTGCGGCACCGGGAGGGAAGCCAGAGCCAAGGAGCCCTATTCATCAGTGTAGCCGAATAAATAGTAAACTCCACAGGAGAAACTCCCGCCCGGCCCCGCCTAGAGGGAGGTTTTCCCACGACAGTCAATGAGGCCAGTCACTCCAGGTGCCATAAATCCTACGGGTGGCCATTCCGGGAAGCTTTCCAACCTGAGCTCTCTGCCTCCTCTGTCTGAGTTTAGACCTGAGTTTAGGTCCCGCAGTCAAATCAAGGTTGGAGTATTCACAGCTCCCGTCCCCTTCGTCACAACCCCCACCCCCACCTCACACACGCATTTTCAAAACACCCCATTGCTTGGATCAGGCCTTACCACAAACATTATTTCTTTATTTCTTTAGCTTGGCAAGCTTTCCCAGTGGATTCCTGAATTCCCTCTCCCTAATGGTCCGGCTAAAGGCATCGCCAGATGGTAAGAGCCAATAAAAGCCATCTTCTAGGACAAGCCGTGTTGGCCTGGTGGCAGTGCCTGCTGGGATCCAGAGAAGGGAGGGCCAGAGTTAGAGGGCCGAACTCAGGGATGGGGCTGATGGCTTGAATGTGCCTAGGGGCTCTTGTAATAAGTAGTACTATCACCACCGTCATCTTTATTATATTAACATAGTAATAAATATAATACAAAATTACTGTTATTATTAAGTGTGGTTCTAGCACTGTGGATACAGCAGCGAACAAAACAGATAAAATCCACGGCCTCCGGCAGAGGAGCTAAACAATGAAACGTAAGTGGAACACTACCTTGGGGAGAGAGGTGCTAGGAAGGAAAATGAGGGGAGGGTGTGTTTCTGATCCAGTGGGCAGAGACGCCCTCTCTGTGGAGGTGGCATTTAAAGGGACACCTGAAAGCAATGAGGGAATGGGGCTTGCAGATGTGTGGAGTAAAGGCTTTCCAGGCAGGGGAAATAGCCTGTGCAAAGGCCCAGGGCCTGGAGGCTGTGAGTTTGAAGAGCAGCAAGGAGACCAGCGTGGCTGGTGCNGAGGAACCCGGCTGGATTCTGTAGGGCCTTGGGAGGACTTGGCTTTTTCTCAGAGGAATATGGAAGACACTTTGGGGTCCTGAGCAGAGGTGTGATCTGATCTGTATTTAACCCTCACAACAGGCATGTGGAATTGAGATGATCAACCCATTATATAGATGAGGACTCTGAGGCTCAGAAACCATAGATCCCATTTGTAGGGGAGCCAGGATTCGAACCTGTATCTACCTGGCTTCCTGTGTGCCTGATTATGAAGCAATATATATCTATATGCAACGTGAATTTGTGGGAGATTTTTATAATCTCTCACAAAAATTCATGTTGCACGGAGAGCCTTGTTACCATTTTTTAAAGGCAAAATCAGGACTCTCCTACGACTATAAAATGGACATGTCAAACATTTTATTTAACTCATCAAATAACTCAGTATAACAGCACAACAGTTCAAAGAAAAATCCACAGTGCAGACAGATGTGAGCCATTAGGAATGCAAAATGAATTTCCTTCCATGTAGAAAGCTGCCCCTCCCCGCCCCCACGGGCAAGGAAATCAACTGTCCAGCAGACGATCCCTTCCAGGTCTCTCCG